TATTTTTCTGTACTGTGCGTACTGTGCTATTCAACTGTATTCGTTTGCCTTATGCTATTTCATTTTTTTCTCAACAGTCTATTTATGCGTCCATTTTTTACTCCTTAGACTTTTTCGTTCCTGCATTATTTGGCTTTTATTTAACTTTTGCACCCAATATTTTGCATATCTTCATATTTGTCTCTTGTTTTATTACATTTTCTTTTCAATCTTGCCTTCCCCTTAATTGTGCCAGTGCTCATTCGACATGACCTCTCCTTCGGTCAGTCTTTCTCAGATGGCCTCTCTCCTCGTCACTCAACCGTCGGCCAGCTCCAATCCTGGCAGCGCGGCTCCACCAGCGATCGGTCATCTTCTTGCTCGCCTCGTTCAGGCCGCTCGACTGCCTCAGCCGGACTCGGTGGTCACCGCCTCGAACCAGTCGTCGTCCGGCGCCTCGACAAGCATGGCACCGCGTGGACCGGAAGTCGCCTGCATTTCGTCGAAACCCGCTTCATTGCCAAACGATCATCTGGCGCCGGTCCCCTCCGTCGTGGGCTCCCCGACGCCGTCGACGCAGACAAAAGTGGCCGAGACCTACGCACAGGCCTGGACCGGTCGGTTGTTGCGTCAGTTTAGGGGTCTCTTCCGCCCAATGTTGGCGCCATGGCGTGTCGAAGATGGGCTTTCCTCCTGCCCACTCGACGATCCCAGACGGGAGAGGCGACTTGGCAATCTCACAGCCCGAACAGATGCCTTGGGAGAAAGTCAGTACGCAGAAGATGGCCAAGAGGAGACAGCGCACGTTGGAGACGTGTATCGATGCCTCGCGGACAAAGAGGCGACTTCACAGCACTTATTTCGGCAGCTTCTGATTCGACTTGATCATGAAGATGCTGAACTCATGCGCCGACTGGCTGATTCAGCGGCTGACCGACCCGAAGATGGAGCGTGTAGATTGCGCCTTCTCGATGAGGAATCCATCGTTGTCAAGTGCTGCAAGACCGGGGGACTATCGGATGAGCTCGGTGGGTGCAACCAGTTTGTATGATTGTTGTTTGAGCCTGTATTCGCAAGTTGGAAGAATTGGAGAAACACACATAGTCCGGAGACTATAGTATGTATGATCATTTTCAGAGTAGGATCGTGGACTTGGTACATTCGCACACGCATCCGCGGCAACGTCAGTGAGCTTTGCCAGTCTTAGCACCACACTACAACTCGCCAAGGAGACA